CATAGAGTTACATGCCAGTCATGGCTGTTCCTGCGTCCCTCGGTTCGCTCGGGGGGTTAATTTGGGTCTGAAGAGAGACGGAAGAACCTGCGGGTGGTGGGTTCCGCGCCGAGCTGATTGCAGAGCCCGCCTTGGCACAGGGGGCTCTGGGACTGGCGTTGTCAGCATCTCCAGCTCTGCCATTGCCACAGCGATGCGCTTTGCAACCGGGGGGGAAAAAAAACAACAGCTGGTTTTGGTTTCTGAATTTTGTAATGATTGATAGCTGCAGTCAAGCTGGTAGGTGGAGAAAATTATTGACCACATTTAGGGGAAAAAAAGGGCTTTCTAGATGAGGAAAACATACTGGTTTGATCCGTGCTAAGTGGAAAGCACAGGCAGAAAGAACGGTGGTGTTGCTGAAGAAAAATGATCTCCTTTAAATATTACTCATTGAGAGGTTTGTTTGCTTAAGGGCCATAGAGATTAAATGACAAGTTTTACCTGGTTTATCTTCTATGGGAGAACTCAGGTTTTCTGACTAAAGTTGAACAGAGTATAATGAAAAGCTGCATTTCGTTAATGGATACATAATTTTCTTGCTGAAAGTCAAGAGCAAAAAAGAACACACTGTGATGGTTTTTGGGCACTAGTAGAAACTAGTCTGAACAGTTTGGAGACTGGTCTTTTAGTTTCCAAAAAAAATCATGCTTAGCCTCAGGTATTAATTTGAGTAACAGTTAATATTTTTTTTTTAAATTTGAAAAAAATCAGTTTTCATTATTTTTTACTTGCCCTCTGTTCACCTGTTCTTAGCAAAAAGAAACCTGGGTGCATCTGGCAGGAGGTGCAAAGCATTGCCAAGAAACAGAGTGCAAGCATCTTGGGGGTAATCTTGGTCTCCAACTGATGTTGGTTTCAGTCTCAAACTGCCACATAATTTATTAGTAAATGCTCTAATTACAGTTGTGCTTATAGTCTGAGGGTGCACACGGGAGATAACAGGCCTGTGAATGATCAAACTGTAGGGGAGGGTCTTACAGACCACGAATCTAAATCTGACTCCTCTAAACTTGCTTAATGGGTTTAAACACAAGACTCGAGTTCACAGCTTTAAACGT